ATTGCTCAGCTGGCTAGGCAATTTAGAAGGGCATTACTAAGTATAGTGTTAAAAATGCTCAGCTGGCTAGGCAATCCAGCAGAGCATTCCTTAATATAGTGTAAAAATGCTCTGCTGGCAAGCTCAGCTGGCTAAGCAATCTCGCAGAGAGTTCCAAAATATAGTGCGAAAAATGCTCTGATGGTATGCTCAGCTAGCTAAGCAATTTTGCAGGGCATTCCGAAATATGGTGTTAAAAATGCTCAGCTGGCTAGACAATCCAGCAAAGTATTCTAAAAATTAGTGTTAAAATGTTCTGCCGGAATGCTGAGCTGTCTAGGCAAACTAGCAGGGCATTCTTAAATAAAGTATAAATTTCGGTCTGCAACTGATTATTTGGCACTCTTAGACTTTCTGAAATATTTAGTGCCAATGCAGATAATGACATTTTTGACTTCTACTGTCTATTTCTTTGGTCTCCGAATGTTTCTGGAACACTCGCAGACTTTCAGAAGTTTTTGGTGCCAATGGAGATAATGACATTTTTACTTCAAAAGGACCCTCCTGAGTCTATTTTGTTGGTCTGCGACTGATTCTGAGTCACTCGCAGACTTTCAGGAATTTTGGTGTCAATGCAGAAAATGATATTTCTGACTTATTGGGACCTTTCTGAATCCATTTTTTGGTCTGCGACTGATTCTGGGGAACTCACAGACTTTCAGGAATTTTTTATGTCAAGGAAGATAATGACATTTTTTACTTCTAGGGACCATCCAGGGTCCATTTCTTACGTCTGCGACTAAATCTTGGACAGTCACAGACTTTAAGGAATTGTTGGTGCCAATCGAGATAATTACAATTTATGACATTTTTGACCATCCAGAGTCTATTTCGTTGGTCTGCGACTGATTATTTGGCACTTGCCGACTTTCAGGAATTTTTGGTGCTAATGCAGGTAATGACATTTTAGGGTAAAAATGCTCTGCTTATGACTAAGGGGTCCTTAAAAGTGAAAAAGTCATAATCTGCAATGGCACTAAACATCCTTAAAGTCTGAGAGTCCCAAGGAATCAGTCGCAGACCCAAGAAATGTACTCTGGTGATTCCCTAAAAGTCAGAAATGTTATTATCTCCATTGGCATCAAAGTTCCTGAAAGTCTGCAAGTGTCCCAAAATCAGTCGCAGACCAGCGAAATGAACTCTGGTCGGTGTCTAGAAGTCAAAAATGTCATTATCTCCATTGGCACCAGAGATTCCTGAAAGTCTGCGAATGTCCCAGAATCAGTCGCAGACCATAAAAATGGACTCTGGTGGGTCCCTAGAAGTAAAAATTGCCAGCATCGCTATTGGCACCAGAGATTCCTTAAAGTCTGCGAATGTCCCAGAATCAGTCGCAGACCATAAAAATGGACTCTGGCGGGTCTCTAGAAGTAAATATTGCCATCATCTCTATTGGCACCAAACTTTCCTGAAAGTCTGCTAGTGTCCAACAATACGCTGCAGGCCAATGAAATGGACTCTTTAAGGTCCATAGAAGTCAAAAATATGTTTATTTCCATTGGCACCAACCATTCCTGAAAGTCTGCGAGTTTCCAAGAATCAGTCGCAGACGACCAAAATGGACTCTTGAGGGTCCCTAGAAGTCTTAATTGTCAATATAAGCATTTGCACCAAAATTCCTGAAAGTCTGCGAGTGTCCTTCAAACAGTGGCACCGAAAATTACTGAAAGTGTGCGAGTGCCTCAGAATTGCTTAGAATTCGAAAATGTCAATAAAACTTTGGCAACAATAAATCCTGGAACTCAGAATCAGTCGGCCAACTGAGCATTCCACCAGAGCATTTTTAACTATATTTCGGAATGCCCTGCTAGATTGCCTAGCCAGCTAAGCATTCCACCAGAGCATTTTTTCACCATATTAAGTAATGCCCTGCTAGATTGCCTAGCCAGCTGAGCATTCCACCAGAGCATTTTTTCACTATATTAAGGAATGCTCTGCTATAGTGCATAGCCAGCTGAGCATTCCACCAGAGCATTTTTACACTATATCTAGAAATGCTCTGCTAGATTGCCTAGCCAGCTGAACATTCCACCAGAGCATTTTTTCACTATATTAAGGAATGCTCTGCTATAGTGCATAGCCAGCTGAGCATTCCACCAGAGCATTTTTATCACTATATCTAGAAATGCTCTGCTAGATTGCCTAGCCAGCTGAACATTCCCACCAGAGCATTTTTTCACTATATTAAGGAATGCTCTGCTAGATTGCCTAGCCGGCTGAACATTCCACCAGAGCATTTTTTCACTATATTAAGGAATGCTCTGCTATAGTGCCTAGCCAGCTGAGCATTCCCGCAGAGCCTTTTTACACTTTATTTAATAATGCCCTTCTAGATTGCCTAGCCAGCTTAGCATTCCAGCAGAGCATTTTTACACTATATTCCGTAATGCTCTGCTAGATTGCCTAGCAGCTTAGCATTCCATCAGAGCATTTTTACACTATATTAAGTAATGCCCTGCTAGATTGCCTAGCCAGCTTAACATTCCAGCAGAGCATTTTTACACTATATTAAGTAATACCCTGCTAGATTGCCTAGCCAGCTTAGCATTCCAGAAAAGCATTTGTTCACTATATTTAGTAATGCTCTGCTAGATTGCCTAGCCAGCTTAGCATTCCAGCAGAGCATTTTTACACTATATTAAGTAATACCCTGCTAGATTGCCTAGCCAGCTTAGCATTCCAGAAAAGCATTTGTTCACTATATTTAGTAATGCTCTGCTAGATTGCCTAGCCAGCTTAGCATTCCAGCAGAGCATTTTTTCACTATATTAAGTAATGCTCTCCTAGATTGCCTAGCCAGCTTAGCATTCCAGCAGAGTATTTTTTCACTATATTTAGGAATGCCCTGCTAGATTGCCTAGCTAGCTTAGCATTCAAGCAGAGCATTTTTACACTATATTTAGTAATGCCCTGCTAGATTGCCTAGCCAGCTTAGCATTCCAGAATATTATTTGTACACTACATTTAGTAATGTCCTGCTAGATTGCCTAGCCAGCTTAGCATTCCAGCAGAGCATTTTCTCACTATATTTAGTAATGCCCTGCTAGATTGCCTATCCAGCTTTGCTAGCCAGCTTAGCATTCCAGCAGTGTATTTTTACTTTTTACATTATATTTAGTAATGCCCTGCTAGATTGCCTAGCCAGCTTAGCTAGCCAGCTGAGCATTCAAGCAGAGCATTTTAACACTATATTTATTAATGCACTGCTAGATTGCCTAGCCAGCTGAGCGTTCCAGCAGAGCATTTTTTTCACTAAAGCTTGGAATGCTCTGCTAGATTGCCAAGACAGCTTAGTATTTCAGCATAGCAATTTTACACTTTATTTAGGAATGCCCTGCTAGATGCCCAACACAGCTGAGCATTACAGCAGATCATTACCTTCCCTATATAAATTGAAATGCCTTTTTGCTTAGCTCACTGTTCACTGCTTACTTCTCACATACTGCAAATGTCATACATATTATAAACTGACACGTCCTAATGATTTGTCAACAATTCATTTATTGTATGTTGTACCAAAACATCCGAGTTTGCAAAGTCTGGTATATTCGTTACAATAACGACATTTGATATTTCACATTACTGTACCGAGTACATTTGTGTCAATAAAATATCCGTTTGAAAGTGTCAAACTTTACTTTATAAAGTTTGCGATATCTTAAGAACAAAACACATATCACATAAGCAACGGTAAAATCAACAAAATCAACAAAATCGATATTATTTCAAATCATTAAAGCTCAGGCACTGGCAATTGTAACATGAAAAGCAAAAATGGAAATACAAAGTTGAATTTATTTAGAATCAGTTATAACAAACGTAACAAAACCAAGCAATATACCCATGCTCATCTACGAAATCAGTATAAGCAGTATAAAATATAATACTTTACCAAATCAAAAGATGTAAATAAAAGTACAACTATATCAAATAACCGCATTACCTTAACCATTTTCAACGAGAGCACCAAAAGAGAAAAAAATACAAGCATAGCAGTGTTAAGAAAGGACATTATCTGTATTAACAACACCAGCTTGAAAAATAACACAATAACACAACTTGAATAATAATCGACAACAACAACAACAACAACAACAACAACAACGGCAACAGCAGCAGCAGGAACAGCAACAGCAACAACAACATAATCAACAACATCAACAGTGACAAAAACAGCAGAAACAACCACACCAACACAGCAAGAACAACAGCAACAAAAAAACACAAAAAACAACAATAATAATAATAAGATCAATAAGAATAATGATAACACTAACAACAAGAAACAACGACAACAACAACAGTAGTTACAACAACAGCAGCAGCAACAACAGCAGCAACAACAAGAAACAACAGCAACAGCGACAACGACAACAGTTACAACAACAACAGCAGTAGCAGCAACAACAACAACAACAGCAGCAGCAACAACAGCAGCAGCAACAACAACAACAACAAACAGCAGCAACAACAGCAACCAACACATCAACAACAACACCAACAAAATGACAACAACAGCAGCAACAACAACCACAAAAACAACAACACCAACAACAGCATCAACAACAGCAATAACAAAAGCAACATCAACAATAACAACAACAAAAACAACAACAGCAATAATAATGACAACATTACAAGAAACAACATCAACAACAACAAACACAACAACAACAACAACAGCATCATCATCATAAGAAGCAACAACAACAGCATCAGCAGCAGCAGCAACAACAACAACACTTAAAATAACAACAACAAGAAACAACAGCGACAACAACAGCAATTACAACAACAACAGCAGTAACACCTGCAGCAGCAACAATAACAACAACCACCTTACAATCAATATCACTCTAACCACGCAGGCAAGCCATCACAACAAGAAACAACAGCAACATCAAAAATAGCAGTAACGACAACAACAGCAACAACAACAAAAACAAACAACAGCAATAATAATGACAACAACATCAACAACAAAAAAAACATCAACAACAAGGAACAACAGCAACAGCGATAGCAGTTACAACAACAGCAGAAGCAGCAGCAGCAGCAGCAACAGCAACAACAACAGCAACAAGTCAACGACAGCAACAGCATCAACAACAACAGCAGCAGCAGTAGCACACCAACAAAACAGTAACAACAACAACAGCAACCACCACAACAACACCAACAACAGTGACAACAACAGCAACAACAACAACCACAAAAACAACAACACTAACAACATCAACAACCACAGCAGTAACAACAGCAACATCAACAGCGACAACAAAAGCAACAACAGCATTATCATCATCAGTAGCAACAACAACAGCATCAGCAGCAACAACATCAATAATAATAATAACAACAAAAAACAACAGCGACAACAACGGCAGTAACAACAACAACAACAGCAACAACAACAACAACAACAGTAGCAGCAACAGCAGTAACACCTGCAGCAACAACAATAACAACAACAATTTTACAACCAATATCTTTTTAACCACGTAGACAAGCCATCACAAGAAGAAACAACTGCAACAACAAAAACAGCGACAACAACAGCAGTAACGACAACAACAGCAGCAGCAACAACAATGATAAAAACAACAACAAGAAACAACAGCAACAACAACAACAACAGTAACAACAACAGCAGTTACAGCTGCAGCAGCAACAATAACAACAACAGCAGCAATAATCACCTTATAACCAATATCACTCTAACCACGTAGACAAGCCATCACTAGCAATAACAACTTACTTCTTATTCTACCAACATCATTTAAAATATTGTTATAATCGCATACACAACAATCCTCAAGATGTTTTTTGCGATCAATAGCAATACAACAACATTATCTTCAAGAACAAAGACAAACCCGAATATAGTTGCACTAACAATTCTTTGCTTACAATAACAAAACCAATACTGCAGTAAAAACGAGCAGCAACAATAACCATCACCTACAGTTTCAACTGCAACAACATCGGGATCATTAATAGCAGTAAATCTACTAACTTGAGTATCATAACAAGTATCACATACACAAAAGTCAAACAAAATCTTTACCATCAATAGCGAAAGTTATATCATTGTCAACATCCTCACTACCTACACGCTCATCATCTGCAGCAACAACTTGTTTAGAATGAAAAACAGAAGCAAACTACAAATGTGTCCATAGGACACAGGTGCCCAACCGCGCCACTGTTCTGTCAATTTGATGACTCTAGGTCAAATATTGTTTTGAAAACTAAAAATCTTTTACTAAGTAAAGGGCAAGAACTTTACAAATACTGAATAAATCCACAAGCAAACCCCAAGGTGCATAGGTACACATGCTGACCAACATTCTTGTAAACTTTCAGGCCTACAAGTGAACTACTTTTTGAGCTATGCATTAACAAGTTGAAAATTTCAAATTTATACTACTGTACGTCAAGGGCAATAACTCTAACAAACTGAAAAAATCCACATGCAAAGTCCTAGGTGCATAACTTCACAGTGATGTGAATTATTATTCCTGTAGTTTAGTGATGTTGATCATTATTTCTGTAAAGTTGGTTGATTCTAACTCAAGCACTCAAGGAACAAATAACAACATAATGAAACGGTTTTTACTAAGTCAAGGGAAATAACTCTACAAATACTGGATAAATCAACATGCGAAGCCCCAGGTGCAAACATTTATATATTGAGCAACCTTCCCGTAAGGTTTAATGACTCTATGTCAAATCCTTTTTGAGTTACATGCGTCACAAGTTAAAATTGCAAAAAAATTCTAAGTCAAGGGCAATTAACTCTAAAAATACTAAACATATCCAGACAAAAATACCCAGGTGCACAACTGCACATGCTGATCAATATTCCTGTAACTTTTCATGTCTCTAGGTCAAATACTTTTTGATATACATGCGACACAAGTTGAAAATTGCATAATTTTACTTAAACCGGGGCAATAACTCTAAAAATACTAAAAATACCCAGATGCACAACTTCACTGACAAATGCTGTTCAACATTCCTGTAAGTTTCATGACTCTAGGTCAAATACTTTTTGAGTTATAGCGACACAAAAGAGAACGGACGGAAGGACAAGGGACCTCTGTTCGTGAGGTCTTAATCTGTGGCGGATTCCTATAAAACTTTTTATTCTTATATTTCTTTAGTTGACATTTTAAAAAGAATATTGTATTTGCATGGCGGTCAGCATCATTTCTACAGCTGTATTTTGAGCATCTATTGTGTTTTAAGTTTATACACCAGCACTCGACAATGCAATCATGTAATAAAACATCTTTTATAAAAGAAGTAATTAAATCAGAACTTTTCACTGTTCCTGAAACTTTTTTATGACATGTACACTTGCACAGATCTATTTGATACTTGCAGATTTAAAGAAATTTATGGAAAGCTTCTACTTACGATGTGCGATTTATCTAATTTTGATGTTGAACCCCCTGATCCTCGCCCAGAACGGTAATGATGTTTTATTCTGAGTTAATTCTGATGATCAATTGTTTATCATATTTTTCTTTAATTTTAACAGATAAAAATTATCCTTCATTCTTGTTGAAAGATGCACCAAGTTCTTCAACTTTCTGTTTTGTTAAAAATCATTTTATCTCAAACTTGTTATTTTGAGATGTAAGATATCTTTTTTTTTATGAAGCATTTTAGGTGAGTGTGCCTAGAAGACTAGCTCACATAATTTATGCAGTAGATTTGCAATTTTATGACTTCCATTAAGTGTAAAATACATTTTAAGGTTAGAGAGTATTTAGACGAAAAAACTTTTTGTGACATTCATCTGTTAGCTAGGTTTATTGCTTTTTTGACATTCATCTGTTAGCTAAGGTTTTATTGCTTTCAGAAATCTGCGAGACCCTTACAGCCGATATGATTGTAGTGACGGATAATTCGGGTTCTGTTGGATCTACCAATTACGGCTTGGAAAAACAGTTTGTTGTTGATCTTTTTAATGAATTGACGATTGCACAAGATGATGTCAGAGTCGGTGTAATCGATTATTCCACTAATGTTAATAGCCAAACGTTTGGATTTTACGATCCATTGTATGACACAAATATAGAGGTTATAAATAAAGTTAATAGTTTTAGGTACGTATGTCATCTCATCATCCATCTAACCTTGTTGGGTTCATTTTGCCTCATGATCTTGTGACTGACTGAACGTATTAAAATGATTAAATAAGATAGTTAAGTAAATTACATGTAAATGATAATACAAATGATGAGCATGTAAAATAAAGCAAAATAAGATGGGAAATAAGTTCTTTCAACATTAAATTAATCCCCTACCAGGAAAGAAAAGCAAATACATAACCCAATAGTTCGTGCACGGTACGAGCTCCATCTTTCATTACATGTCTCATTGGGGGAAGATATTCTTTTGCAACTTACAATTATGAGACTTATTCGTATAAGCCGTCATTTTGATGGCAAACATATATTTTGGGGTTGAAAATATATTTTAGAACTTATAAAAGGATGACAATATGATCACGGGAATAATGCAATAGTTTTATAAGAACGCCCACCAAGGGCATTATAACAATCAATTAATATATTCAGCTGCTGTATAGAATCTACTTTATAGTTACACAGGCGGATATACGAGAACAGATTTGGCATTACTGGAAGCGTACGACATGCTTGATTCAGCCGGAAATAGACCAGATGTTCCAGATGTCATTGTTGTCATCACAGATGGTGAAACAAATAATGGAGGAAAAGAAAATCTTGATGACATTGTAGATTTAATTAAAGCCGATTTCGACGTTAAGGTTAGATATTCTGGTCATATATTGGGACGTAGTATTGTAACAAGATTAGATCATCCTTAATTTGCTGCCGTTTCATAAATATAGTTTCATTTACTTTGCAAAACACAATTTAATGTAAAAGCAAGCAATTTAACGAGGAAGACTGTTAACTATCTATATTACAACATGCACATAAACGTAAATGTAGGTGATAAAAGATACGCCGTTTAATGTATGTGATATCGAAATGAAACCGTCAATTATTAATCTAAAGGATTGAAATATGAAGCTTCGAAAATTTATTATTTTTAAATTTGTTATTCTTCACTTAGGTAATAGCAGTAGGAGTTGGTTCATACGATATTTTTGAGCTTAACTACATAGCATCCGACCGGAGTCTCGTCTTTGAAGTAGACAGTTTTTCTGACTTGAATGCTATAGTAAATATCATTCTGACAGAAGTCTGCAGTGAGTAATGTTTTCGTCTACATCGGAAAGATTTGTACTTTTTGTATTTTGTTGAATAAAGTAAACATACTCACAATTTTATATAATTTTATGTTGAAATCGAATGTTTGAAAATTTTATTGTAAGATCTGTTAAGTAAGTGTATGATTTGGCTGGATTCGAACCAACAGCTTAGTTGGGCAAATTATGTGAAGCAGCAAAATTAGCCACTCGGCCACAGAGGCCCAGATGATGATTAGTGATGATAGTGATGATAGTAATTAACTTGAAGTAATACAAACAGAAAGAAATGCAATGTTAATATTTTTCAATATCTCGCCTGTATTGTATATTTGCTTTGTCGTGTTCAAGTTGTCAATTTATTGATTACATGAATATACATATATATATATTTAATTATAAATTAGATAATATTATAACATGACACCGAGATTTCTTTAAGCACAAGACTGATTGTAATTCAGCTTTGTAAATCAGTTCCATACAAATTTGAATATTATGAAAAAATAATTCTTCAAAGAAATATGGCAGGAGAAATAAAGTGAAAATAAAATTCATATGCATGCAACAGTTGTTTGAACTAACTGAAGTATAATTATGTGCTTATTATTTCTACTTTTGAAGCTCTACATGATTTCTAATGTTTCATGACATACCTTTAATATTTTTCACTAATTGATTTCAGCGCCATTGCCACCACGTAATATACATTTATTTTATTTTTCATTTGCACAATTACTGATAATAGTTATCACTGCTTTTTATCATTGCTGGTTTTTACGGTTAATACGGGGTGATGAACTTACAATATTAAGCTTAAAGGAAAAAAAAACCAAGAACAAAAGGAACATAGTACTAAATATGCATATGCCAGAGTGTAATGTCACAAAGTATAGGAATATTCGTTTGTAGTCAATCCTCTTTAACTCCAACAATGTTTGACTACAAACGTGATTTTGAATAATATTCCCTTTTCTGTAAGTAAGATATCGTACGGTATTTTTACACAAACATTTGGCATAAACCCATTTGATAGTATTCATTTTTGTTTTTCAAGTTTTGGTAAACTTTGCCAGATTATCTAGCAAAACAGCGCATTTCGAATATCGTTGGGATGAAAGAAATAGAGGATATTCAAGTTTTTTCTATAAATACAGGATTTATTTTCATTGAGTGGTGTGAAAATAAATATTTTATGAGTGGCGGTAGCCACGAGTGAAATATGGAAATTTTTCATGCCACAGGATAAAGATAAATCATGTATTTATAGAAAAAACTTGAATTTACTATTTATTATATACATTTCTCTCTTTTTTGACATTAATATTTGAAAACTACACTTAAAATTTGTGTACTGACAGAATTTAAAAGAAAGTAGTCCGGCACACCAGTGAAAATACGGAAAATATGTTTCATTGCAGTGAAAAATAATTCTTAACAGTGAAAATACGGAAAATGAAAATAAGCATTTTATTTCATCAATATTTCTCAATATTTCATTTATAGGTATATAATAAAAACGCATATCTCATTCACAGGGGTATAAGGTAAAGTATTTGTCATATAACGGGGTCGTTAGGGTAGATACGACCGGGCTACATGACTCGGGGAGAAAAAGCTAAAGTCATTAACTATAAGGTTATTATTACAGCATACTTGTATGGCTAGGGATAAAACATTATTCGATAACATACCGCTGGGGTTGGGAATAAAGCGTAAGTCACCTACTGCAGTTATGTAACATATCCATGAGTAATGCTCGGACAGTGACGAGTTGGACCGAATAGATCGGATTTTTATTGATTAAATATATTCATATCTAATAAAACAGGGGCTTATCCTTTAAACTGGTATATAGATGGCAAACGAATGGTGAAAATTCATTATCTGATTGCCTCACCTTTTCCCCTTTAACACAGGTTTATTAACGAGTCTCTTTTTTATATCGAATATGTTTATTCTATATTATGTTGCATTGTATATTTTTCAGCGATGAAGAGCCAATCTGAATCAGTCACTAAAGCTACTAAGAGAGACACACATTTAACAATTTTCTTAATTTGTATTAAGTACATGCGTTTTTCAAATGATCTATTGAAAATAAACAAGTCACATATATTCGAGCCCGCGACAAAACCCTTTGGGATACCTGTTTCATAAATATATGTTACGTATTTGTAGAACATGACATGGTCATTGTTAATAACGTTTGAGTCTTTCTGCAACAACTAATACATTTTCGTTTATATTAGTAAATTAGTTTGCCATTTTTACCCTTTTTACTCTTTCAATTGTAATTGCACACTATCATTTCAGTTTCATAACGAGTAACATCAAAGTCTTGTTATCTTTTATTTAGTTGTTTCCGCTGAATAAATTTGTCATTTTTGTCATTATTTACACAAGTTTTTGTGAAATGTATTTTTTGTTTGTTTCAGAATGTTGTTAACAACAGAAGTTAATAATCTAATGATAGGAGATTTAAGTACTGTTCATTATATTGTTTCTTATTTATTTATTTTAAAATGATTGTTTCTAATTACATGATGGCATTCGTCAAATTATTTTCTTCAATGTCACGTGATATTTATAGCGGTATGCCTTGGTGAAATGTGTCAAGATGATTCGGACTGTTATGGGGATAATGTTGTTTGTGTGAACGGAGTTTGCCTTTGTGCGGCTGGATTTCTTTTAACGCAAGAGGGAAAATGTGTGAATTGTTCAACAGGTACTAATACCCTTATTGTATCATTATGAGACCAGGTCTGTATGAACATAGGTTATCTTAACATTATGATATTGAATTTGCCTAAATTAAACTATAGATAGTTCAAAATTTAAAAAAGGATAATTATTCAAACTTTAGGCCATTATGCCTAAGAAATGCTGTCATTCTTTTTTTCCTCAAAAACATTTTTTTTTGTGTGTCTTGTTATAGGTTTTCATTGGCCAATTACCTGAACCATCTTTTGGCTCTGTGACATTTGTCAATTAGTTCAGTAACTGTGATTATAATATAGAATACTACTTTGTTTACATTTCGCTACTTTTATGACTAATAATTTTACTTACTACGCTACCTTTGCTCAAGTGATTAAAAATCAACATTTCCTTAACCCATTTTTAAAATGTTGTAAAAATCATTTTTGCACTTTCTTAAATAGTCAAGAATATTCGTTTTTGAGGCAGAATGTGCCTTTTAAATAGTAGAATTGTTAAGTTGTTAACATTTTTTTCTCCATACATGACTACTTGTATGGTATGACATAGTCAATAATATATCTATTGATTTTTTGATCACGAATTTCTACAGGGGAAGCGATCTCCTTCAATACCAATCAAGTACGATATTCTTTCGGATAAATAAAGTTTTTGAACAACTTGTCGCAGTGATCAAGGATTTAATTTTGGCTGTTATACAATCTCCTCATAACAGCTGAAATTTCCAGCCTTCATTTCATTGAGCTGTCCGTTATTAATTGTGTGGATATGACGATGAAAATTTTTTAAAACACACAAACCCTAAATATTTTTAATAACACAAACCGTAATTATTTTATAATAACACAGATATTGCAAGTTTATCTGTAAAATTTACATGACGCATTAAACCATGCGAGTATTTTAGTTTGAAATATATCTACATGCCATGCTTTTTCAGTCAACTTTGAGGATTACCTGTCGACCTTGCCGTGCAATGGAATTTCGTTTTGCCCAAGTGATCAAGTACTTATAGATACGACTTGCTGTAGGTGTCATATTTAGGATATTTACTACTTTTTATAATAGGCGATTATCAAATAGACTTACTCCGAAATTAAGAATATATTTTAAATAGCTAATTCGAGGGTACAAACAGACCTTTACAGTTACAGCTTCGAAAATAAGCGCAATATGTTGTAAAAACAAAAAATTGCCTAGTTCCGCATTACAGTTATTCTGACATCATTTAAAAGATTTCATTAATTCAAGACTCTTTTTCTAGTCCTTTTTATATCTTAATTAAATGTCATCTACTTCAGATGGTAGAAAAGTCACCGAGAATTGTACCTTGTCAGTAAATACATGTATAGATTTACACTCATTCTGCAACGGCACTGTATGCGAATGTGAGGAGGGTTATTCGTGGAACGGAACTCATTGTGGTATATATTATATAATATTTATTTTACTTTTCGAAAAAAAAACCCCAAAAAAAACCACCACCCCCCCAAAAAAACCCCAAAACAACAACAACAAATTAAACCCGAAAACCCAATTTATTTTATTTTTGGAATTTATCTAACATAGAATAACGCGTTTGACTTAAACACGTATGTTGGCAGGGAATGCCAAAATACCCGTCATTTTCAGATGTCAAAAGCAGAGAAACTTACGCTATATAGACGAAGTCGAAAAAAATTTACAGTGAATGTAAGTTAAACAACTAGCATATACCGATGTGCAGATACCTTTAAGCTTGTTGAAATAAAGAGCTAAATAATAATAATAATAATAATAATAATAATAATAATAATAATAATAATAATAATAATAATGATGATAATAATAATAATAATAATAATAATAATAATAAGATAAAAGATAGAGAAAAAAAGAAACACTAGCAAGCAACACAGCTGGTGTTGCAAGACTAAATATTTAGGCAAAATCTGGAAACTTATTCAGCACTGGATAAATATTTTTGAGAATTTTATACTATCTGATATAGGTTTATACCAAATACTAGTACCTCTTTTCAAAAATAACATTTTTATTGTGAAAAATGACCCTAAACGTGAACAACATATAGGTGTATATCAATTTTAATTTTGATTTACACTAATTTATAATCAACATAGTTTATGTCATTTATTTATTATGTCACAAAAGTTAATTACTTTTGCAATTTGATCTATTAAAGTTAAGATACCATTGTCATTTTCTCTCTTAATTTTATATGTATCAACCTGGCATATCAATTAGGCAATTG